AGCGTGTCCGCACCTAATCAACAGCAAGATTATATGACTTGGCCAAAACTACGGTCTGTTTTTGACCATTTGCCACGTCTTCCAAAGCTTAGGACAGACCATCAAACCAATTAGACTCCCTGGAATGCTGGCTGAGGCACCTCGAGTTGAAGCCTCCTCAAGTGGGCTGGCCGTTGTGGAGCAAAGCCTCAGGCAGTCCCCTCCTCTGATGCCCGTGCCTTTTGTGTTTGGGCATATGAATTGGAACGGCTTCGAATGGCTTGAATGGAAACCAAGAGGAATCCGTGCAGAGTCAGCCCTTCACCCCGAGAATCTAAATGTCGTTGCCGGGCGCGCTTCAGTTTAATTGTTGGCTTAAGTTGGTGCAAGCTTTGGATTTGGTCTCGGCTGTGATTATACAGGCTTAGGGCGCAATTCTTCAGGTTCAGTGCATTACAGATTTGGGCCTGGGGCAGGATCAGCTTTGCAGCAGTGAAGACTTTATGGCTGAACCTCACAAGGCTTAGGCCAAAGACCATTGGGGCTTGGCCCACAATGCGCCCACCGTTGCTGCAAGCATGAGCCATAGTGTACCTACTTAGCTAAGAACAGGGATGACCGGCTGCCACGGCACAATATTCGCTCTTGTTGGCGCTATCAATGCTTGCAAGACAAGTCGATGAAGCCATCGATGCCGAGGGTCTCCAAATGCGGCGCAATCTTTTGCGGCTCCTGCAGGAATGGCATGCTATGGACGAATTTTGCCAAATTGGCACATGAAGCGCGGCCTGCTGGGACGTCATACCACCTCCTTTGCACCAGCAAATCACAGCAAACCGAAAGGACAGGCGCCAGCATAGAACGCTCAACAAACCCCGGCCGGACATGTTACAGGTGTTCTAGATCTGCATGCCTGAAAACATGTATACATATGTGTATATGTATAATATTATGCTGTGTGATCCTCCCCAAAAGACTCTCTACCCCAAAGAGAACCTCACGATCTATGTGTTTCCCGACTCCGCCCGCCCTCTGTCCTTTCCCCCCGCCCTCTGTCCTGGAAGGGCTGCTTCTTGCCATCGCGCTTGCTCTGGCGGATATGCATCGCCAGTTGCTCGGAGCGCTTCAGCAAGGAGGTCACGTAGTTGAAGCGCGTCTCGCCCGTTGGGGCCTCCTCGTCGCCTCACTGGCAAGGGTGCTACACAGAGCTGGACCTTTGTTTCCTGGGCAGCTCCAGTGTTTTTTTGCATTCCCGAAAGCATCGCGAAGGGTTCTTCCGCGCGGAGCTCTTGGACCAACTTGCAAAGAGTCACTTGCGCAGAGTCAAATACATAGAGCCAAGTGCATGGAGCCAAGTGCATAGAGCCGTGCATATAGCCAAGCGCATAGAGCAAATGGAGCCAAGTGCATAGAGCCGAGTGCACAGAGCCGAGTGCATAGAGCAAATGGAGCCAAGTGCATGGAGCCAAGTGAATAGAGCCGTGCATAGAGCCAAGTGCATAGAGCCAAGTGCATAGAGCCAGGTGCATAGAGCCAAGTGCATAGAGCCAAGTGCGTAGAGCCAAGCGCATAGGGCCCGAGTGCGTAGAGCCAAGTGCATAGAGCCAAGTGCATAGAGCCAAGTGCATAGCGCTTCGGCGTTAGCAGCTATGTAAGTTAAGTTTAGCTTTCGAGGGCCGGGGAAGGACTTTGATCGTCGATCGGGTTTGCGACCCTCTGCGGGGATCGGCGCGGTCGAGGTGCAATAACTCGAGGTTTTTTGCGATTTCTGATGTGCCCGTGCGACCCTCTGCAGGGATCGGCGTGGTCGAGGTGCAAAAACTTGGGTTTTTTTGCGTTTTTGCGGCGCGCGGATGAACCCTCTGCGGGGATCGGCGTGGTCGAGGTGCAAAACTCGAGGTTTTTGGCGATTTCTGATCTCCCCCCGCGACTACAAAAACTCGACCATGTTTTTTTGCGTTTCTCCGGTGCCCGCGGAATCGGCGTCGTCGAGGTGCAAAAACTGTGGCGCCGTGCGAGTTCGCTTTAGTCTCGGCGAACCCTCTGCGGACATTGCGCGCGTCGAAGCGCTCTCGCTGTGGCGCCGTGCGATTTTATTACTCGCGAAATGGCCTTTGGAAGTTGTCTCGTGGTTTGCGCGCCTGCTTTCGCGCACAGTCGCGGGTTCGATTCCCCCCCTGGTCCGCGGCAGCTCCGGCTCAAGCAAAGAAGCTGTAGTATGTGGAGTGTACTTCTGGCGGCTCCGACCGGAAAATCGCAACCCTGAAGCGCTGACGCATAGTGCGCGGAGCAGCTCAGGCTGAGAATCTTGCGCGCAAATACAAGCGCCGAGCGCCTTGCGGAGAGAAACTTGCACAACGTGCACAGAACAACTTGAAGACAGATGTTAAGCCACTTGCGTGCAGCAGCTTGCAGAGAGCAACTTGCGCACAACAGCCTGGAACAATGCAGCTTGCGCAGACACTGCCATGTTTCCTCTCGTAGGACGATGAGACGGAGCTCTCATGTGACCATACACATTGAGCATCGCCGCGTGCAGACACGCTCGCCGCATCGATGTAAGAAGGTTCTCCGCGGCTGGAAGAGCGCTTGGGGAAAATGCTTTCGGGCCAATCGTCCTCTAGTTGTTTTTTTTGTCAGCGGAATTTCTTGGTCAAATCAATGTGTGCTTCTATTCCTTGCATCAAGCAGGAAAGAAATGAGGGATCTCCAAGGAATCTTCATGGCGAGCTCGCCCCAACCGCCATCACAAACGTGGCCTAGGTTGCGCCCCATGCTTGGGCCTCTGTTGGCCTTAGATCAATCCGTCCAGGGTCCAAGTCCGGAACCATAGAGGAAATAGCAGGGAGACAGCCGCAGCATTACATCGTAAGATGCACTTTCGCTTTGAGGACAAGGGGTTTTAGTTCATGGGATGCATTTCAGTCACACAACCCGCCTGCAAACACAAGCACGTGCTATTTGTTCCGACTGCTTGGGCAACCCTTTCTCGTACTTTCACCACTGTTTGCAGATCTGACTCGCTGAGATGATTCGCCCTGCTGGTCTCTTTACTCTGAGTGGACAAAGGAGGAGGAGGAGGAGGAGGAGACTGGCAAGCAAAGCTCATCAGCTTTGAGATGCACCTTCACATTGCCCCACTTCTTTACCCCTTCTTCCCTGCTCCAAGGCCCGGGCAAGTGAAGCCAACATAAGGCGGAACGCTGCGGGAGCGCTGCAACGGCTTCTCCTGCCAACCGCAGTGTCCATGAGGCAATGCCAAAGTTGGCAGCTCGGGGCTCAATCGCGGAGAGTCCAAATCATGGATTGTAGCGAATCACAGGGGTGGCGTCCATGAGAGGATGGACCTTGGAATGAGGAAATGTAACAAGTTTATAAATGTCCCACAATCGAATTGCAAATGTGGTGGAATACACATGGTCGCTAGTCGAGCTGGGCGTGCATGGGCGCCTGGCTGGCTCACCCCGTTGGGGAAAGTTTACAGCCTTTGGTCAGCTGCAAAGCAGGGCTCGCAATTGCTGGGCACAGACGAAATCCATGTATGATACCCAGAAATGAAGCGCTGGTGACAAACTGCCTGATGAGTCAAGTGGAGGCACTGCAGCTGGGATGGCCCACATGCACTCTGACAAGTTGGAACAATCATGGCTTGCTCAGGCAACAGTGTACTCAGTGTCAATCAACATGTGCTCGAGGATTCCGCCCAGCCGAACATCTACATCTTCAGATCTTCAGATCTTCAGACGCGGTAAAACAGCTCTTCCAACCAAGTCAGCCTAAATTTGCGATGCAGAGCCCTGGCTCGCATCCACTGACAAAGCAGACTCCTCCGACGGTTCCTCAAAGCAAATGAAGGTGTTGCGGTACTCGAAGCAAAGCTCCTCCTGAGCTGTGAAGACATTCATCGAAACTGCCGCACCCGAGGCATGGATGAAAATTCGGCATGAGCGTTTACTTTTGAGGGAGTTCACCAAACGACTGGGACATCTTCCCTTGGGCACTCCACTCTGAAGTAACTTGCCTGAGTTACTAGTCCTAGCTCTGACCCCTCGCTGCCCCCCCGTCCAGAGGGAACCCCATGGAAAGTAAGCGCACCTATGGCGACAATGGTCGAGCGGTGGGCAAACGGCCCCTTGCCAAGCTCACCCTCATGTTGTGGGTCTGGGAGTTTGACAGTTTGAGCATTGCTGGGTCCAGCCCGAAGGCGAAACATGCAGAAACATTCCGATGGCTCTCGGCTCTGTCCGATGCGGCCAGTGCAGACAAGCAGCCGACATTGTTCAGGCGAAAAGGGGGTCGCTTTCTGCACTGGATGTGGGCGGAAAGCTAACGCTTGCAAGCTGCTTGCTCGGCAAATTCTGCGGCCGGCCGGGCAAACGCGTCCAAAACAGAGCCGAAAGCAGGATAAAAGGCGACGGCAAAATAAGCGTTCACCGTGTTACTGAAGGGCTCAAGGTTTACATGGTCCGTCCTTCCCTTCCTTTTCACCATGCAACCAGACCAAGGGTGCGAAAAGGTTCCATCGGGCTCCTGATGATCGTAGAATCGCACATGGCGCAAATGTATTCGAGCCGGAACCGGAAGCAGTGAACCCAGGTTACACTGGTTTCGTGGCCGAAAAACCCCAAGCCGCAATCTCCAAAGAGAATTAGGGAATTCCAGACGGCCATAGCTCATTTGCTTGGAAACCAATTTGCTCATTTGCTCATTGGCAAGATACTCTCATTCCTTGCTGACTTGCTCATTCCTGAAAAGCCCAAAAGCCAACAAGGTTCGACCCCAGACCCTTTGAAATCGCCTGATTCCAGTCCGAGTCCTTCCCCCATCCTCCCTCCCACCAGCCCCATGCAAATACCAGGCCCCTTTCCAATTGTTCCTTCCTCCCTCAGAAAAAGCTCGGTTCGGTCGCGCGCATAGTCCCATTGACCCTTTAACCCCCTTGTCCACGGATGTGCGCAGCATTTCTCTCCAGGGCAGACATACTTCCATCGAGGCGGAGCCACGAGCTCTGGGGCACTGGCCCGCGCTGCCTGAGGTTGCCTGCACCTGGCCATCGGCACAGCGACACGCGCCGTATCCGGCCACTGGTACGTGACATTCAAAGAAACGCTCTAAGAGGAGGTCAGGATTTAAAAGGCGGCACGTTTCTCAAAACAAAGTTTCGGTTGATGGAATGAGAACAAACTGAGCGATCACTAGCCACTCCCACTACGTTTCCAGCGCCTAAAACGGGCTGCCACATGCACCTTCGCTTAAGTTCCTGCGAGGAATCCCTTGCTGGGCTCAGATGGCAAGCCACTCCTCAGACTCCTTCATACCTTGCCACAAATCGCAGCCAAGATGGCAGCCAGAAAAATCGGACAAGTTTTCTCATTCGCTGGCCTGCCAAAAGCCGATCCCTTTTTCACACATGTTGCACTGCCAGGGCTCTGAAATCTCTCTCAGGGTTGCAAGGATGATCCGCACCTGGAATTGTTTCTTGTTTTTGTAGATGGTGGTGGTGGTGGTGGTGGTGGTGGTGGTGGTGGTGGTGGTGGTGGTGGTGGTGGTGGTGGTGGTGGTGGTGGTGGTGGTGGTGGTGGTGGTGGTGGTGGTGGTGGTGGTGGTGGTGGTGGTGGTGAGGACGGGGGGAGCCCCTCCAAGGCGCACCTCCCTCCCGGCCGCTCTGCAAGCGTCACAGCAAAGTGTCTCTTGGAGTTAATGGCTGCCCGGACTCCTCACCCGTGACAGGTGCCACCATCTCACCAGGGCCCGCACAGGTGACAAGGCACACAGGCTAGACAGCCGTGGGACCCAGAAAATGGCAGCTTGTTGTAGATGGACGATGATCGAGCCCAGCAATGCAAGCCTCTGGTGACCTTGAGCTGTTGCTCGGGCCAATTAATGTCATTCACAAACTGGAAACCAGGAATCCCCAAGAAAGGGACCCTGAGCTCGTTTTGCCCCCAAGTGAGCTTGTGATAGTTTGCCCAGGTTGATCATTTGGGCACTTGAAACACAATGGTCGGCTTCTCTCAGGCCTTGGGCTGGCCCAGTGTGTGCCAACTTGACCCAAGCAAACGCGTCTGGACATGAATGGATACAAACAAAGTTTCCACGAAAGGAGAATCAGCAAGAGAACAAGCAAAACAAAGCACATTAGTATAAACGGTGGTTCACGAAAGCTACAGTGCTTCGATTCTTCCCGGAGTTCGGCCAGGAAATGGCAGCACACCAGACAAATTGACGCCTGCCACGGCAACCAGGCCGAATTTGAAAGATGGCCACGGTCATCAAGACTGGGGCCGGAAACTTCATGGGCGTTTGGTGGGAAACGGGCCGCCCATCGAATTGCGCCTGGTGCTCCAAAGGTGCGGCTGACCTGGAGCGACAGTGCCACGTCTGACAGTTCCTACTCAGCCGGTCAGCCGGTCTCGTCTCTCGTCTATGTCGCCTCTTCTCGAAAACGAGCAAAAGAAGGTTCCGACTCAAGCAGCCTAAAACTGGATTCTGGAACGGCAAGAGACCTTTGCTGAACGTGGGTCCTCTTAGCAGATCTGACCGATGCGCTGCAAGGCCCGTAAGGCCCCAAGGCTGCCCGGCCTCGCAGCACCTGAGCGAAGTGGAGCAACGCAAAGCTGGGCGGACCAACAACACCATACCACATACCGTTTTGCAACTAGACCATGCAGACCCAACTGGACCAAATCCCACGAGGTGTTGCGGAAAAATGGCAATGTCATAATGTTGCAATCTTGCGCATGCGTCCGCGGCACAAGGGGTTGCTTCGGCGGCTTGGGCCCTTGCTGGTGCCTGCGTTCCCTCGAAGAATGTGTTGGATTCCATGCAATGCTTAGTACCAGCTCTTTGGTTGTCATTCAAACAACCCCAAAGATTTCCCTTGCACAACACAAAATGACCCCGGTTTTTGGTTTTGCCCTTTACGGACAAAATGGCTGCCCAAAAAGAAATACCACCCTCCGGGCCCCCGGCGCTTCGTGGCCGCCCAGCCCCGCAGGGCCAGCTGCAACAAGGACGCCTTTGGGTGGTGTCCCTTGCATGCAGTTTCCGCGGAGGACGTGGACAAATCACAGAGTTGTCTGGAGCTGTGGCAAAGCTGGCGAAGGGAAATCCTTGCTGTTTTGGGGATCCATATCCTCAGGTGAGCATAGTGGAACGATCGAAGGTTCTAGCCACTGTCTGGCTCTTTCTCCCAGTATGGAACTCTGAAAAGGGGTGTAAACGAAAGAGCATATGCCTTATGAACATCACCTGTCCAAACTGCAGCCTCAGCAAGCAGAGTTTGCAAACTGGCCAAAAGACCAGAATGGGCCGTTTGCCTTTTTCTTCCCTAAAGCACTGTCAAGCTTTGTGAGGACTTTACTTTTACCATTCTAGCGTGACGGCAACATCCCTTTCATGCGGTATCTGTTCAGACATATGTGAATACCGCACCCGCAACCTCTCGGAATATCACAACCCTACGCGCACCACGCAACCCCCTTCTTGCGGTCGTTGGTCCAATCATGCGAGGCTGCCGTGACTCATAGATTCAAACTTGTCAAGGCAATTGCGAACCAACCGCCAGGTCGATCAACAAACAGCAGGTGCTGTGGTTTCCAGGTCGGAAGATCACACCTCAACCCATGTCCAATCTGCATTTTCCTTGGCTTCCCGACATCCGGCGCATGGAGCCTGGCATCGGAGGGTTCACATGACTGCCCTGCCCCAGCATAGGAGTTTGCAAAAGGCAAGCAAAAGACCAGCAAAAAAAGAACTGATCACCATAGTGCGAGTTAAGGGAGAACTCGTGAGCAATCAAACCAAATTTGCAAGTGGTGGCTCCTCCGAAACTAGCATCTGCCGGATACTCCCCTGTGGCTACCGCTTTGAGGCAAAACCTACAAGTCTCCTTAGTCATTCTCTACAAGCGACAAAGTCACTTATTATGAGGGATGCTACAAAGCAAGGCTATGCGAGGCTCCCAGAGAAAGAGCCGAAGAGCCCATGACTCAAAAACTCAAACACAGGGCCCACGGGAGCCCATGGCACGAAGCATTCAGGGCACAGCCCAAGAGGACACAGAACAAAACAGAACTTCGCCAATCTTCTGTTACATTCCTCTTGCGAACGTCTTAGAGGATAGCCACTTTGCAGGGGGCACAGGAAACTTCACACGAAGGGCCTTTAGATAAATCTTTGTTTGCTGCGCTGTCCTGCCCCCCCCCACCCCGCCCAACCCTCACAATCATACCCCCGTAAGCATCACGCGGGCAACAAGGACTAACTACTGGCCACGCAAGCCAGGATATGCAACCAACATCTGAGGCTAGCAAACAAATGGCTGTGCTCGCGCATCTTCAGCCAGCCGGCCTTGCGAACCGCGAAAAAGTAAAAACCTGGGAACAACCAGTCAATCCAGCAGCCAACCCCAGCCTAAGACAAGACTGTGCGCTAGTCACACCGCTGACAGCCCATGCCAAACTCAACACATTGCAAGCCGCAAGCTGACTGTTTGGAATCTGCAAAACAAAACAAAAAAACTGGACTAATTATTCAGGTCGTCAGGCAACCTCAGACTCCATGTTGCGTTGACAGCACCCTGACAATGATTTGGAACCGTGGCCTCCTTGAAGGATGCAAGTAAGTCATCAACAAGCATATTGCAGTTGGCGCATCCGGCTCCCCACCATCTCGCGCGAGTCTTCCATCCGCATACTTCGCCTTCTCCAACTTCTGCGGTTTAAAGCGCAGGATAGCTTGGAGCGCAAAGGGAATCCACGCGGCTTGCAATGCTAGGTGGTCAGCCAGGCTTCCGAAGTGCACTAGTTGTGGGTCTTGCCATAAACATGCCGGCACTCTACCATGGCCTGCTCACGAACGTCAACAGCAAACAAGCATAGCATCAAATCATGAGCCCAAGCATCACAGCTGGCTATACACAACACATATGCAACCTAATACTCCATGAACCTTCTTTTGGCAATCATAGGGGCAATGGTGGCAGTTCAGAACTCATACAGTCAATTTAGAGGCCGGTACAAGATCTAGACATGCTGAGTCCGACATGCGCGCTTTTCCAGGTCTTTGATTGTCCCAACTGCAAACCATACCCGCGCTTCTCAAAGGGCTTAACTTCAGATTATTGAGCAAATGAACTGCAATCAATGTGCATTTGATGTGAAGCACAGTCTTCATAATTCTTGGGTTCGCCAGCGGGTTGTCTAATGCGCCGAAGCCCTCTCGAGGCTGTCGAACATGATCGACCGGCGAAGGGGGGCCTGGAGCAACTCTGCGACTGCACCCGCCTGGCCACCGGATCCTCAGCCTCGCCAGCGCAATGACGTTTGGCGATGCTTGGCGATTTCATGGGTTGGCATGGCGCTCTACGATTGCTAGCCCGTCATGTGCAGCTTTGGATTCGCGCTTTGTGCCTTGGTGTCTTAGCTTGGATTGGGCGGCAAATCAGCACAGTCGCTGTCAAAGCGCGTCGCCAAGTAGTTCCCAAGAATGAAAGCTATAATAGGTTGCCTAAACTGCTTCTTGCTGCCTGGCTTCATGGTCATTCCAAGCTGGCTCCAGAGTTTTCATTCTTCCAGCCTTCACGAAGTAGCTCGCATGATCTGCATCTAGTTCGTTGTACTACAACATGGTCAAAACGTGCCTTTTGCATAGCGCCGAGTCTGCCACTAACTTTCCAGCACTGCCCCGAGGCTATCCCCAGACTGCACCAAGGGCCACTGAGCACAGCTAGAATCCATGCTCCACGACGAGCCGGAACCGTGCAACAACAGAGGGCCGGCATTTGCGTCTATGTTTCTCACTTGCACGGTATGTCACTCTCCGGGCTACACCTCCCCTCGCGCGCCAAGCGAGAAAACGAAACCGCGGCACGCCTGGCGAAGCCGCGCAGTGTCCAGGAGCTCGGCGGCCATCCGGCGTAGCCTGCGCCGACACGGAGCCGAAAATGGAGGAAGAGGCTAATCCAACGATTAGAGCCATGGTAATTACGGCTGATGTCAACACCGACTCTCCTAGCGAATGAAGGGAAGCTAGTCCTCAACCCCGTCCGCAAATCTAGTACCCTTCATACCTTTGAGAAGACCCTGGAGTCCCTTCTTGGGGGGGGAATCCCCATCGATCGCGGGGCGGGGCGTGGGGGGGGGGAGGGTGAGTTGGGAGTATGTTGGAGGATTCCTGGAACAGAGTGGCAAGCTAGGAAATACAAAGCAAACAAACAAAGATGAAAGAAATGCATGCCAAAGAAACCAACCAGTGAACGTAGGCAATTGGCAAGTCGCAACGGCGAGAACCCCCCCAAAAAAAAAACGGCCTGGAGATGTATCTGCCAAGCTGGTTTGGAAGAATTCGAGACTCGCTAGTCTGACTCTCTGAATTCAAGCTATGCAAAACCAAAGAGCACAGGGCTTGCATTGTCACGGCTGCGTCGAACAGGCGAGCGTTGCAAATGCGGTTTGTTTTGAAAATCCATCCAACAACAACGGTTCCTTAGGTTTGAACCCCAAAGGCAATGAATCCATGACTGCCAGGCATCGGGCCGCAACGCAAAATGCCATCAGCATCCCACCTAGTTGGCGACCAATGTTTGGGGGAGGTCAATCCGACCATTGCGGGCGTTCCTTTTTTCGAAGGCATGTCCGAAACAAGCAAAAGGACAACATCACACAGAGATACCGACTCTAACCTCTTCCCGACCTGGCCTCGACTCGACCTCCTCCACCACGCAAGAGAGGTCCTCCTCGAGGCCTGAAGCCTAAAGGTCCGCGCAGGAAGAGACCAATCCCCCTGGCCCTGAGTAACGGGAACCATTTCGTTTTGGGTTTCTTTTTGGGGTTGTCAATAGGCCAAACAAACGGACAACTGAGCAAAAATCGCGGGGCCAACTGCTATCCCTGAGCCGGAAGTTTGGGAGACCCCCAGAAAAGAACCTTCATCACGGGTGAACTCGTTATAGTTTGCCCAAAGCACCGATTGTCCTCACCACAAAGCACCGTGTTGCGCAACGAGCTTTCATACCGTGTAGTCTCAAGAGCAGCGCATCCCATGACTACGAGACTGCACGCACAATGATTCAACCCTGAGCCGCGCAAAGCGTTCAAAGCTCTTTCCAAGAACAACCTGCAACATTACACTTTGCATGTTCCGCGCGCTTGTACAGCAAACCGCGACATGCAGTTGCAATTGTTTCTCCTCAACCCAATGTTGAATTTCCAAATGGCTTATCCGGGCGACCTGCTGGTCAGATAGGCTATAAACCGTGCTCAAAAAGCAAATGATGTGGGGAATTGCACTGCATGATCCAAATATGGAGACGCGCTAGGCTACTGCCAAGCTCGAACAGCACCACACCTTTAGAACCAGGCTGCAACCTCCAAACGACAACCGCCAACCAATTTCCGACCACCTCCGACCACCTTCCAACCACCTCCCGCCCATCCAAATATTTTGCAACACAACTTTCAAAAAATGCAACTTACATGCTTTCATGTCTTCGAGCAGCACACCGCCAAACATGTGTTTTCCCTTAACCCTACAGCAAAAGCATTCGAAAACCCTTCTCACAAGCACTTTGCACAGCAAACCGCGGGAATCAAGTTTCATTGATTTCACTTACACTCTCAAACTACAAGAACATTCAAAATATTGTTTCCAGCAACATTGACGCTTGCAATGTTGCATATGTTCATGAGTTTCCCGCAGCAAACCGCGACACTGTGTTCTCAATGAGTCACCCTCAACCCTAAAGGCGAAGTGTCTGAAATCATCAACATGCAACTACAAATAAGTCAATTTAGTGTCTTGCTTGCAAATCAAATTTCAAAACACGCCGGAAAGTGCCACAGTCAGTCTGACGCGTCCACAAGTCACTCCAACGTGTCTACAAGTCAGTCCAACGCATCACAAGGCAGTCTGACAGCCACCAGTCAATCCGACTCTTCACATGTCATTTCGACCACTAAAGAGTGGAGCAAGCCAATCCGACCACCCTCACAAGTCGAAGTGACAAGCAGACCCAACCTAGCAGATTTGCCCAAAAGTAAAGGACTCCCTCAAAAGCGGGAAGTCCCCAGATTAACATCCTGGCTTTCCATTGTCGGCTACTAGTGGCTTTGCAATGGTTCATATTGAGTGGACTCCTTCTTGGCATGCTCAAGGAAAGTCAAAGGGAACACACCCATTTGGGGGGCTGCTCCATGTGGAGACAAACACTCATTGAAATCGGTGTTTTTTTTATATTCCCAAATTACCTCTGGTGGGAACAAACAAGAGTGGGCGGCGCCAATCAGCCACAGACCCACCAACCAACCATCCAAACCAAGAACCTGAAGCAAAGGCGAAACGCAACGCCTCCCGCACGAAAAACAAAACAAAAACGCGAACAATATGTGCGTCTCTTGCATCATGCTGCCCTTCGCGTAGGGATTCTCCAAGCCCCAGGCTCTCCGATCCAAGGCCTCGCGCGGGATCCAAGGGGGGACCGCCTGAATCCAAGTTTGTTGGTGGTTTCGCGCCACCCAAAAAAGGTGACCTCTTTTTCATTCTGAAGCAAAGCCTTCAATACTTGAAAGTCGGTCTATGATTCTGACGGGTGCAGACCAAGACCTCCTGATGTTCTGTTCTCTTGCTTGTTTTGTGGGTCGCCCGTGTTTGCTGGTTGATTCCTGTCCCGAAGTCGCCATGAGCAAATAAAATGTGGGGTGGAATCCAGCAGGTGTACGTAAGCTACTATGCAAGCAGGGGGAATGCGAGAAAATCGCAAAAACAACAACCACCAAAATTGCGACGAATCCCCCAACACACTAGCACGCCACCCCACACACCCACACACACACACCAAAGCCAACAAACAAACAAAAAGCAAACAAACAAACAACCAAACAAACAAACAAACAACCAAACAAACAAACAAACAAACAAACCAAAACGCAAACACAAAAGCCGCCCCATTTTTCTGGATTTGTTGTGCCACGGTTGTGCGCGAGCAAAATAAACGGGCAAGTTGAACGACAACTCTGCGTTGTGCGCGCTGAGTGTTGCGAGCGTTCGTAACTTTGTGCAAAACACGCAGCCTGCAAGAAAGTACTATCCTGCTCAGGTCATTGTTGAAAGAACACCGAGTTCGTGTTCAGTGCCGTGCTGGCTGGTTTAAGGGTAGGTTGCTCTCTTGCCTGCGCTTCCTTGCTGCCTTGCCAGGCGGTGGAAAACAAATGACACTCCGGAAACCACAAATCCCTGGACGGACGAAATCCTACACCACCTAAGAGGCCCTGGAGGACTAATTCCCCGGTAAATGCCAACAAACAGTGATTTCCCATGGTTTCCAACTGGTGCGAAATGGTTTTTGTCCATCCCCAGTATGATATAATATGATATACTATGATTCTAATTAACAATCATAATTGAGAATCTGATATAATCTGATAACCGTATGGCCCCTACACGTTCCCAAAGCAAAGCATCAAACCGCACCGCGCCAGGCAGAGCTGCAGCAGCTCGTGGAGCTGCAGCTCGCAGCTGCTCCGCGCCGCTTCCAGCGCGCACCTCACCCGATATGCCCATAACCGGATAAATTTTCCCCAAAAAGTTCGCATGAAATGGCCATGGGTCAAAACCCCGGTTAGCCCCCAGTGAACATCCCAATCCCCACTAAAATAGATTGACATGGGTGGTGCACCTATCCCACAATGGTACCATTGGTTTTGAACCATGGCCAAATGGCTTCCCGGAACTCTGCAAACGCAAGGGGTGCCCTTCTTCCCTTCTTCCCTTCACACAAAAAAAGGGTCCTTCAAGGACAGGCCCCACAAGATCCAAACAGTCGGTAGAGCTCCAGAAAAAACTGGACACTCTTTTGTGGTTGGGTGACTTTTTGCGAGGAAACCCACCAAGAAAGGCTCTTGTCGGTTCTGGGGAACCCTGTGCTTCAGGGCTCACAACCCGAGCGCTCAAGCGCAAGCCAGACACACCATCAAATGTTTAAAGTCTTGAGGAATCTCCGCATCCAATGTCTAGAGTGTGAGCGTCCATCTGCTGTAAACAATTTTGGTGGGATTCAGGGGCGAGAGTCAGCGCCACAGGCAACGCCTCAAGGAAGGCGACACAAGCGGCAAGGTCTGAGCTGCTGGCAGCCTCTCTGGATCATCGCCCTGAGGCGATCTTGATAGGCCATGCTAGGGAGGGGGCTCTTTTGCACCGCCCCCCCCCCTCAAATTCAAGAAGAAAACACGATGAATATGGTCGCCATTTTCAGGAACAAGCATGGCCAATGCCGACCATCTACGAGTCCCTCTATAGTTCTCAAGAACCTTCTGAACCTAGTGATCCTTGTGATCCCTAGGGAAAGAGAGAAAGGGGAAGATGTTCAGGGTCTTGTTGTCAGGCTTTTAGCTTCCTTGTAGTCAAGCATAACTGTTGGAACTGCCTAAACAACAAAACCGAGACATTCCAACCGGTCTCTCAGACCCCATCCAAAAAAACCCAGCCTTCGCTACAATGCCCTGCTCCGAGTCCCGGGAGCGCGAGGACATGGCTTGTGCCTCCTCCTGGAGCACACAGCTGCTGAAGGGACAATGGCGGTTTTGTTTTTGGGGTTACCTTTTTGGGAATGCTTCTTCGGGGAAACGAAGAGGGAACCACCCAGCTTCAGTCCCATATTTTGAGACAACCCCTTGTAGATTGCAATTCACCGTGCAGCCGACATCTGCCGATGGTCGGTGAAGAATCGCTGTGGACAGCAGACATGCAAAAAACCAGCAACGAGCGAATCGCTCAAAGAGTCCTCAAGGTGGCGAATCTGCAAAGTTGCGGCCAGCAGGTCTTGGTTCAAGTCCAAAAGCGCATCCTCCACGACCTCATCGTTCTTCAAATTTTGTCTGGCTAATTCACAGGCTATGTCCCGGAGTGGGGATTGACTTCTTTTTTCTCAACGCCCAAATCAAATGCGAATGCAGCTCCGTCTTCAGCATCACATGAGCCGGGCCATCATGGAGCAAGCGGCATAGCTGATTTGCGCTTTCCCTTCAGCCACATGCTTCGAGTCGAGCATATTCTTTGAGACAAGGAACCTTTCTGGCAAGTAGATCCCCGCGCTCACCCCAGTACCCCGGTTCCATGGGATATCGTGCGCCGCATCCCCCCCATCTCCGCGCGCCTGCAGGCGGCTGTCCATGGCCTCAAGGTCTTCAAAGCCTGGGCCTCTGCCCTGGCCACTTGGTATGCGGCTTAACAGTTCTTGTCGAACCGAACAATCTCATCCAACGGACGAAAGGATTGGACAATACCAAGCGCCGAGAGGTGTGAGGGCTGACAATTTCAGCCCCGGCCCCCCCAGTCGCGTAAATTCTGCTTCCAGCACTAATTCATTCGGTGTGTTGAGGGTGTCCTTTTTGGGTGGCTTAAAGGGTACAAAAAGAGTACTAATCGGCTCCGCCAGCCCCAGGCCCGGCCCTCGCCTGGCCCGGAGTCTCCAGCCGGCCCTCGTGGCCTGCGAGTCGGGCCGCCCCATTCTTGGTCAGGGAGGAATGGACTCGAACGAACCGCTGAACCAACCTGTGGGCTGCTGGACCCCTTTTGGGCACACCGGAAATCGGGGCTCGGAACTGCCGCCTCAACCGTGTGAGAGAAGCAGTCATCGCATAAGAGCTTTCCCATGAGCCCCTTGAAATATTGTCCAGTCACCCCTATCCTTGGTGGGCGGAACAAAACAGGTACAAAAAATCATTGGCACTGAGCTCTCCTCTTCTAAGTCGACCTCATTCCATGAGGGCCCCGCTGCCCTGGTTGTTCTTTCTTGCTAGCTTTCCGCGTGGAACCGGGACTCCCCACGTGAGCGAGCTGTGAGAGCTGCTTGCGCCTGCGCAGGGGATAAAACGGCACAGGAGTCTGCTGCGCCCAAACCAATGAAACCAGTTTGGGCCTCATTTTTGAGGGGTACCAAAATGAAGCCGCAACCTTTTCGATAGGGTCCTTTCATTCCCAACATGTTGGGAACTCTCGGCGTCAAGTCCACTCGCCTTTTTGCTCCAGGAACCAAGGTAGGGCGCGCCAGCATGCGACCGCCTGTCCGCGCGCGAGCTGTGCAGTGTTTGCCCAGGGAACCAGCGCGGCCCAGGAAGGCGTTGCCTGGAGCTCACTCGGAGGATGGGCCTCGGCCGTATCTCTGGGGTACGGCATTGACACTGATACCAACCAGAGCCATCAATGCCAGCAACCACCCGGCCACCGCATTGAACCCAGCTAAAGCCAACTCAAAATCTGTCGAAGGGCGCAAGAACACCAGCACCCTGACCCAAACCATCCCAAGACGTGATACACACCCCATAAGTCCCGAGGCACTGGCGATGGGTCCAATGAGAAAGGAAGCAACCAGCATCCCGGCCTTCAAAGCAGGTGACAAATGGGTGGGCAAGGGTCTTCGGGCTTTCCAACCGGTTGACAAACCACAAATTCAAGGGAGATGATGCCTGAACCGCCTGAACCCCTCAGCTCCCGTTTCGCATAGACACCTCGGCCAGGGGTTTTGGGGTCCCCGTGGCTCGCTCGCCTTGGGGCCCCAGGCCATCACAGCTTGCTGCTGGGCGGTGCCTCGAAGCACATGGCCACGCCTGGCACAGCCAGCCAAAGCGATGGCTGCCACTCTCAACATGTCGGTTGGGGTTAGGCCAGCGGGGTCTCGAGAGAACAAAGAACATCACCGTTGGACGTCCTTTGGGAGACTGAACAACTATGGACTGTTTAAGTTTAAGCACCAGTGACAAGGGTGCGTGCCCCGCACCCATAAAAGCATCGCCAGACCATGGTTGGAAAGGCAGCGGCTGGCAAAGAGCCTTTGGCCAACCGATGGGGGAAGGGGGCTGACGAAACTTCTGTCCGGCATATTGCTGTCATTTTGCGCCGTAAGAGGGAGTAGCAAAAAATGTGACCACACAACAAGGCTAAGAAAGCATGCAGCCACGTACTGCTTTTAAAGTTTGTTTGCTGACGTCGTGCTCGATGCGTGAAAATCTGAAAGGCCGCTGGTAAGGATCCAGGATAATTCTAGAATAAGATGACACTCTGTTGGCTTCCTCCCGATGGCTCAACCCTGGTCGCTGCAACCTGGGGAAATTTGGCATCCCCCTTCATTTGTCCCTGAAAACCAGCCATGTTTGTCTCCGTTCTTTCGCCTAGGAGTTTCGAGCCAATCAGGTGAACTGTTTTGGGTAAGGTGCCGCTGTGAGATTTGTGCTTCGTCTGTTCCGTTCTGAGAGTAGAACATGTTCATATCAATCGTCTCTTCAGGTTGGCTTGCGTGTAGGATTCGTAAACTCATCCGTTGGTTCACTTGCCGTCCATTCAGGGAATCTGCTAAAAGCTGTAGTGACGACATGTCAGCATGTTGATCAATAGTTCAAACAAAAGTCCTGCCAGTGTCCATGGGTAACTTCAACAAGCCACGAAAGCATCTGAGTCGTCACCTTCTGACTCACTCCTGCAGATTAGCATGGAACAAGGCCCTGTTTAGAGGAAATTCCTTTTGAAGAAGGCTGTGTGGGGGGTTCCATGTTGATGTGCAGAGTAGTCGTTGCGCCCCGGCCCTCTCTTGGCCGCTGCCGCTCCTTGACCCCCGCCAATGCAAAGGGTGGCAAGGCCCCGCTGCTTGCCGGTACGCCGCATCTCATGAATCAGGTCCACCTCAGCCATCAAAAAATCACAGCCATTGAACGTCTCAAAACCTGGCATTCAAGGGGTTGACGAAAGACCGCGTCAAGGTAATTACAATTGGGGGGAATTCCAGTTTGGTGTCCTGTTCAAACGGGGCTTCCCAGTTTGATATGTATATATATATATATATGTAACTGTATATGTGTATACACACACGAGCACACACACACACACACACAATTTTGTGTGCCTGTTTTGGGGCTTTGCTGCAAAATAGCATCCAAACTTAAAGGAAAAGTAATTGAACAAAATCCCGAGCGGGCAACCCATAGACGGAGGTTCCGGTGCAGCAAAAGCATTGCGGTAATCCTTACACGAGTTTCAAACGTTCATGTGTTTGTTGTTTTTTTTTTTGCCTCAAAATTCTAAGGTGAGCCTATCTCAAACCCAGGGAGCCCTTTTGTGGTTGCTGTTGGAAGTGGAAGGAAGCAAACCTGAACGTGTTCTACAGGAGGTTTTGTCAACATGTCCGGTAGTCGCTGGTCCACTTGGGAGGGACACGGGGGACTGACACTAAACTTTTATACAAAGACAAGGGATTCACTAACTTTTGCCACATCCTTGCGGGGGAATCAGCTAATTTCGATCATGGCTCGCACTTCTGCCAAGTCGTTTCAGGAGTGCTTCTGGGAGACTTCTGGGAGATTTACCTTGAGACCACTTGTGACGCAGTGAGCACTCCTCCTGCGGGTCCCACGCACGTTCTTCAAGGAAGGGATATACCCGTATTTAAAGACCCAAAAAGGAAGGAAGCCTAAAAGTCTAAAAGCAATCTGAAAGCCAATAAAGGAAGTTGCCAAAAAGAGGCCATTGCAATCTATCCAGAGGCGCCGCAATGCGGCACCCGGAGGCGCCGATGGGGTGGCCGATGGCTATGGCCTCCGTGCCGTGGCGGCAGTCCCCAAAAAACGCGGGGGTTCGTTTTCGTTCTTTCTTGGGAGTTGAGGGGAGTTCCGCCACGTCCTGCACATGATCGAACCTGATGTACATGATCCTGTGTCACTATGTCGACCCCAGAATGTAAACCCTGTCAACAAATGGGGAGGGTCCCCAAAAGAGGCGTTCCTGCACAACTGGACGCCACCCATTTACTAACCATTGATTTATTAATCCAAGCTTAGGTTTCCCATCAAATGAGCGGTGCCAAAAGTAGGGTACACAAAACCCTCTACTCACAAACCGCTTTCGCGGAACCTTTCGCGATGCTTTCCCGGCCACACGTGTCACTTTCACGGGCATGTGCTTTGTTACAATCACTTTCGCGGAGCTTTCGCGTGCAAGACAGAAACTTCAAACATGAACTTTCGCGACGCTTCCACGGCGGGCTCTTCTTCAACCACTTTCGCCGGAAGCTTTCGCAGGCTTTCGCGCCCTGCATTTTAGCTTTCGCGAGGCTTCGTTAGGAGAGGCCGTCAATTAACTCCTTTCATAAGGGTGTTTGGTTCCAAAACTGAATTCAACCCTAATGCTCATTCAGTTCTCAAACTCATGAGTTTGTCAGTTTGGCTTGCCCTGAAACCCCAATCTCCAAAATGATGTCTCTCGTGTTTGTACTGTTTGAATCCCTCATCTCGGATTCTCGGCGAACACCTGAGGCCAGTGCCCCTCCGTTGACGTTCACCTTGGCCGGATCCCAGCCCATCTCCTGCGGTGCTTAATTGCGAATGCGCCCGCGACCAGAAGCCTTGAGCCTTTGGGCAGCTATCCTGCTCCTCTGTTGACAACCAGCCTTTCAACAGGCTCATGCTCGTGGCATGCTCATGGCATGCTCGTCACCCACACGCCTGACCCACATTGCGTTTTTTCAAGGATTGGTTGGTTGCTTCCCCTCGTTTCACCCATTGCTCCTTTCCAAGAAGAATATTGCTTCAGGTGTTTCAGTCATTTCCTGAAAAAAGGGACTGTAGCATCTACCCAAGTTCTTCACCATTTCTCAAACTGGAACCAGAAAGAAACAAAAAAAAGGCGGGGCTCCCTTCCAACGCCTGAAAGTGCTTGGACGCACTCTTAAAGAGGGATCAACTATCTTATAAACAATCGCACCACATCCCAAAGCTGTTTGTCACCTCCAAGGAGGTGCCTTTCTTTCCCAAAAGGGGGGGTCCAAATGCTCAACCCCAGGGGTTGCAGGACATGCGTTCTGCACATGTCATTCCGTGTGAGAATGTCCAGAGCCAAGCCTTCAAGCCGTCAAGCCTCTTCCTCTCTCTCGATTCCGCGCCTGGTTGACTGCCAGCGCCTGCGCGGCGAAGGCCTCGTTCGCCTCGATGAGGTCCAGATCCGACACCTTCCAGCCCACCTGCGCTGCTCTTGCTTGCTGGTCCTAGGGAAGTTGTCGCGGGGTTGGGAATGAAATTTGTTTGGAAATCAAGGGCGAATTCCCTCATTGCTGAGAACCAGCAAGTTTGGGGGACTTCGAGCAAACCATAACCAAAACTGGCATCGGTGCGTTTGGGGGTAGGAGCAGTTTGGACCAGCCCGCAGTTTCTTCCAAAAGGGATCCATCTGGGACGGGTTTTCCAACTTGCCTTCAAAAGAAGTGCCCTCACTTCGGTCCTTGGAGTTTGATTGAAAATGGATGGACTCCACCTGGTTGCATTTTGGTTGCAAGCATGTACCAGAGTCGTCACTGCTTCCTGGCCAACATGGAATCGGTTTGCTTGAAACTCGCAGTCGGTGGGTCGCCAAGTTGGTTATAAGGGAATATTTGAACGAGAGTACCGGTCCCTGGAAGGATCCATGCATTCTTGCAAGCGGGTCATTCCCATATCCCTACCATAAACACAGACCGATGTAAAGGAGCCCCTCAATGAACTCCTGAAGAAGATGAAGCCGAGGTTCGGTCAATTTAGTGCTGGGATGCTGGGATAAGCAGTTGAGACTTCTGAGCTTGACCCCTGTCCTGGCCCCACTTCCCCCGCAGCTCTGCTGTTGACAAAGAAAGAAAGCAGCCAGTCGGAAGCAAGCGCGAGTGGGCCAAGTGCGCCCTCGATTTTCGCCCTGTGAACATATGTGCCCCCACTTTTGTGAAAAAAAATGTGTACAGTACGGATGAGAGTTGGCTGGGATGGGCCTATGCGATTGATTTGGTCACTCAGTGTGTGTCTCTGTATCTCTTGGCGTACATCGAAGCGAGGATTGGAAATTCCA